CAGACTGACAACCACTCCGCAAGCACCACTCATTTTGTTAATTAAGAATTTGTGTCAATTAAAAGTGTCGGATTTTTTTTTATTCGATTTTTTCTGACGGAGTCTTTATGTCAACAGAATAATGTTTTACCCAAATGTGTGAAGTGGTGACGAAATGGCATGTAGTCCAAAAGTCAAATAAAGGGAAATGAAAATTGTGTCTGTTGCTTTCTTTATGTGTTTTTGTCGCAAAGAAAAGAGGATTTATTTTCTATGGAACGAAAGAGGTCTTTCATTTAATAAAATATTTAAGACCCGTTTCGTTACTTAGAAAAAATTTAAGTAGTTTTGAGCGTTGAATAAAGTGGGAGTAGTAAATAAAATTAAATAATAATTTAATTCCAACAAGGAAAATCGTCGTCCTCCGCGAGGGGGGCTGCTTATTATTTAAGCAGCTGTAATTTCGCATTTTAGATTCTCTCGGGGTATGAAATCTTCCTACTAAAAACGATAAATGTTGGCAACTTTCACAGGTAAACCACATATGAATTCTAATTTGATATTAGGAATCAATGATTTAAAAAAGCAGGCAAATTTCCCCACAAAAAAATCTATATTAATCGATACTAATAAACAAGTATACTGTCTGAATAACCAATTGACTTAATGGTCCATCAACGAGCGAAGAGTACAATAAAGTACTAAAAATGGTGCCATTAGTATTTGGTGAACCGGTAGAGCTAGAACTCTGAAACTTGGAATGATGGATGGAGTGTAGAATTAAATTTGGTGTAAATGAAAATTGGAAATTCGAATTATAAGTATCGGAAAAGAGCTAAAATTTTCTCAATTTTTTACGTAGTAAGTGAAAGGATAGAAAAAATATATGAAGTTTGGAATCCGAATCAGGGTTGATAAGTAAGGTCGATATAAGAAGATGGAGTACTAAATTTACAATTTGAATTTGGAGGAACGTATGGAGCTACAATCCTTAAATTTGAAATTAAATTGCCGTCGAATTGTAGGATAGGGATATGTACGTAGTTCGTGATTTTTTTACTTATGTGTACAAAAATACAAAACTGTACTACATATTCAACAAGTGAAAAAAGCGCTATGTTCGTCCGGGCCGAACTTTGGATAGCCTCCACCATAGATATATTGACGGATACTTGAAATGAAAATATAGGGAACATACAAAAAAATGGACCTATATGAACATTTTTACAAACCGATTATGTAAACCATATACAAATACACCAAATACAAATTCCAGCTTATGGCTAATGGGGGCGAATATACTTTGATATAGTGAAAATGTGCCTCAAAGAAATATTGGTTCTAGGCCCCATGTTTCTTTGGAATAAATCAATTTCAGAAAATTTTGATTTCATCCAAACTTTCCCTACCTTATTAATTCTTCCAAACTTAGTTCAAGTACGAAGATGGTCCACTCCTTCTGGTACGTCCAACACATGGGCTAGGTCCAGGCCTAAATGCGCGGAACAAATAACTATAACTATTTAAATATAAACCAGTAAGGAAAGTAGTAAAGTCAGACGGGGCCGACTATATGATACCCTTCACCATTTTGGGTATATTCAACAGATGGAATCCTAACAGACGTCACATTTTTGAAGGACCTTCACCAATATGGGTATATTCAACAGATGGAATCCTAACAGACGTCACATTTCTGAAGGACCATTAACATGAAATAAAAGATGTCATTCTGCAATTTATACTAAATTTTGGTCAGATATAGAGCTGTTTCTTACAATGGGATAAAATCATGTAAATAAACTTAAAACAAAATATCGAAATCTAAATCGATTTCATAGAAACATGTCACGTGTTAGGTAACACTTATTTCAGTATGTTTTGTGCATTTGAGCACATTTTGAGTTCTTCATTTACTTATAAATCCAAATTTCATGCAAATCGAAGGATAAAATCGGACGAAAATATATATGGGAGCTATATCTAAATCTGAACCGATTTTTCCCAATTTCAATAGGGGTTGTCCTTGGGCCAAATAAATGAGCTGTGCCAAATTTTATCCAATTCGAATCAAAAATGCGACCTGTACTTTGTTTACAATTAACCATGGACAGACATAGGGACGGAAGGACATGTATAAATCGACTCAAAAAGTGATTCTATGCATATTCTTAAAAGTAACCATGGGTCTATCTCGATTATTTTTGCCTGTTACAAACATATGCACAAAGGCATAATACCCTGTACCACAGTGTGGTGAAGGATATAAAAACGGGGTTATATGGGGACTACTCTAAAAAGGGGTCGAATATTAATAATTTTCGGTGGGGAGATTTGTTACCATATACTACTACAAAATACCAAATTGCAGCAAATTCCGTTGAAAAACGCACTCAAGAACCACAAAATACCTAAAATTGGGTGTACCATTATATGGGGGTTATCCGAAAAAATTTACCTATATTCATAATTTTTGTGGAGAGATTTGGTACCTGTTAAGAAATACTTAATTACAGCCAATTCGGCGAAAAATACGATCAAAACCCCCAAAATACTGAAAATTAGGAGGTACGGTTACATGGGGTACCAGAAATGTTATAATTTTTAGTGGAGATATTTGGTGCCCAATAAGAACCCAATGTTTACAATTTCAGCGAATTCGGTTGAAAAACGCGCTCAAGAACCCAAAAATATCGAAAATTAGGGGGTACCCTTATATAGGAGCTATGCCTAAACGTGGACCGATATATCCCATCTTCGAACTTGACCTGCCTGCAGACAAAAGGCAACCCTATGCAAAATTTCAGCTCCCTATCTAAATTCCTTCGGAAGATAGCGTGATTACAACAGACGGACAGACGGACGAACGGAAATGGCTAGATCGCCTTAGAATTTTATCCTTATCAAGAATATATATACTTTATAGGGTCGGAAATGAATATTTCGGTGAGTTACAAACGGAATGACAAAATTAATATACCCTCCATACTATGGTGGAGGGTATAAAAATAAGATTTCTATTGGATTGTCTGACGTAAGTAGCAATGTAATTATGTGTACTAAATTTGGTACAGTATGATACAGCTGACATTCTGAAATTTGGAATTAAAATTACTGTTGGAGTGGGTATGGATGTAATTATACCCTACACAACTATGTTGTCAGGGTATTATAGCTTTGTGCAGCCACAAAGACCCACCTTTAAGTATACCGATAGTCAAATCTCGCCTAGCTGAGTCGATCTAGACATGTGTGTCCGTCTGTCCATTATAATTTGTAAGCACGATACAGGCCACAGTTATGGACCAATCTTCACGAAATTTTGCATGTAGGAAGGGTCCGGCCCAATGAAGACGCCTATAGTTTTCGGTGAAGTTGAGTATGCAGAACATCACATATTTTACAAGGTGAAGGGGATCTGACCAAATACTTAGAGCGGTTGTTTAGATGATGATCGGTCAATATTCCGAGGGTCAACTCAACCAAAACCTAAACTGACAATTTTTTTTATTTTACGGCGTAAAAATTCACTTCAAGAAAAAAATTAAAAATATGCCAGGGTTAGAAAGTGAAGTTATTGATCTATAATCGGTAAAAATGGTGCAAATATCTCGAAATATTGCCCATGCTCAGAATATAGAACCGCAGAAAGTTTGATTTTCGTGGTAGTTGTGTAGGGTATCATATGGTCGGCCCCGTCCAACTATACTGCTCCGCTCACTGGTTTTGGAAATGTTTTAGTTATGAATATTAAATGCTACTAAATTGAATATAATAGACTTTAGGTGAACCAATTGAGCTGGTACCATATTATTGGAATTAGTACTATAACATTGGAATTAGTATTTTTTTGGAGTGTTAAATTGAGTTATATTGACTTTGGAAATTCCTACTTATGTGTACTAAATGTTATTAAATTTGGTACAATTTGAAGTTTTAGCTGAACCGATGGGGAAATTGGGAAATGTTATATCTAATGTAATGTTGAGGAAATTTATGTTAATGTGTACTAAATTGTACTACATTTGCATTTTGATTTAGGTGAACCAATAGAGCTCGAGTCGTGAAACTTGGAATTAGTTTGGGGAATAACAACAACAGGATTACAAAAATATTAATATTGGTCCGGGTAGTCCCGAAACACGTGTTTCAACTTGACTTAGTTTTCTGTTTTGTATCTTCAGGGAGCAGAAAGTGCAAGATTTTTGCATGCGAAGTGTCGGTAAGTTGGGACATTAGTTTTTGGAGCATGAATAATCTACTACGTCATACTGCAATAACATAGTTCTCATAGAAAGCTCCCAACTGTTTCAAAGAATTTCGAATGCACACCACGTGGTGGAGGGTATATACAGTTCAGCCAGGCCGAAAATGGCTTAAAATTAGTTGAGATAAATAAGAAAACTCTGAAAAGAACGTTAATTTTAAGATGTATGCTAAATAAAGAGACGAATTATATGAAAAGAAAATTTCCGTCCTGTTTAGAAATAAGCTAAATGTGACTAAAACCTTCAAATTTAATATATGTGTATGCACAAATTCTTGACAATGATGATCAGACACTGTGGGCAGAAAGTTTCCTTTTTAAGTTTTTTTAAGGTAAGTTAAATTATTTTTTTTAATTATAAAATCAATTTATTTATAATTTTTAACGTTTGTTATTTTTATTAATTTCAGGGAGTTTTTTGGACGGCGAGAAAAAAAGACGCGTTTCGTTGGCGGTATAATTCACAACAAAACATTTTATTTCATTCTATTTCATTATCCTATTCTTCTACATCTAACTTAATTGTAATTTTACATACTATTTTAATACTAATTATTACAACCAAGAAATTCACATTATGTTTACATTAAAATTAATTCATTAATTAAAATTCAAAAATAAATAAAACAAAAATCAAGAAAAATATATTTTAAAAATTCAATTTAGCAATAAAACTGCTCCAACATTCTGCCCCCATTGAATGGCTGCAGGACTTCAATAAATCGGGATTGGAGCGAGCTTCCGTATTGGCCTCTTAAATGTGCCCGTCTTTGTTTTTATTTCCGCCACCCTGACCTTTCCGTCTTGTCCCTCGGTGACGTTGAGTATTCGGCCGGTTACCCACTCTTGAGGTGGCAGATTGTCCTCGTGCACGAGGACTAGTTGACCGACCTCTATGTTGGGCTGGGGATTGTGCCACTTGGCCTTGTCCTGTAGTCCTAGGACGTAATCCCTCGACCAAGCCCGCCAGAACCTCTGCTTGAGAGCGGAGAGCATCTGCCAGCGCTTGCAGTACCTCTCCTTGTTGTCGCTGTCTTCTCCGACGGATTCTGGCGGCAGCGAACGCAGACCCGCTCCGATTAGTAGGTGCCCGGGTGTCAGAGCTTCTCCGTCGTTGGGGTCTGGAGACAGCGGTGCTATGGGGCGACTGTTTAGCACCGCCTCTACTTCTACGAGCACTGTGACCATCTCTTCTTGCGTCAGCAGCACTTTGCCGACAGCTCGTAGAAGCAGGAACTTCGCCTGTTTTACGGCAGCTTCCCACAGCCCTCCGAAATGAGGCGCCCTCGGAGGAATGAAGCTGAACTGCACGTTCAACGAGGCAGCGTATTCCTCCACGGTTTCTCGGCCTGCTAGGAACTTCTCCTGAAGCTCCCTCAGCTCTCTGCTGGCTCCCACGAAATTCGTCGCGTTGTCGCAGTAAATCCTCTTGGGGAGCCCACGCCTCGCGGCAAACCTTTTAAAAGAAAGAATAAAAGCATCAGAAGATAAATCAGACACTAATTCTAAGTGAACCGCTTTGGACGTGAAGCAAACGAAGACGGCTATATACATTTTGGTAGGTGGTCTTCCGCGTATTTTTAAAGTAATATTTACGGGACCACAGAAGTCTACGCCTATTATTAAAAATGGACGTAAAGCTCTCACTCTATCAGTGGGAATATTGCCCATTATTTGGGTCATCAGCTTTGGCTTGTAGCGAAAACAATGGATACAATTCCGAACTATTCGATTACATTCTTCTCTGGCATTGATAAGCCAAATTTGCTCTCGAGACAATGCAACTAAGGCTTTCGTACCAGCATGGCAATTATTAAAATGTAAATTATTTAAATATATTGACACAAAATGATGCTTTTTAGGAAGTAAAAGTGGAAACTTTGTGTCATGGGGCAATTGTGCATTTAACAGTCTTCCACCTACTCGAAGTAAAGAAAATGTCCGCTTACACTCAGTGAAATCGTGGATAAATGGTGTCAATTTCTGGATATTGGATTTTAAGCATATTGACTTTTTTATTTTAGAAATCTCTTCTGAGAAACTCTCTTTTTGAACTGCCTCTACTAATTTAAGAAAAGACCAATTCAATTCTTGAGCTGTAAGACAGATAGATTTGGATATCTTTCGTTTCTTAACTCGATCGACAAATCGGAAAACATATGAAACCACTCTGAGAAGTTTTTTATATGATGAATGGTCATTTATTAATTTCAAAAGAATGTTCTCAGAACATTCCTTATCTGTCTTACTATTTGAGGTCAGTAATACTTTGGATTTTCTTATTTCCAATGATTTTTGCTCCTCAGTCAACTCGAAATGCTTGTTGACTGGCCATTTTGACATATCGTCTAACAAAAATTTAGGTCCTTCAAACGATATTGATGATTTAATTTCATCTACACTGCATCCTCTCGACACAATGTCGGCTGGATTCTGTTTAGTTGGCACATGACGCCAAATACATTTTTCTGACCATTCTTGAATTTCTGCGACTCGATTAGAGACAAATGTGGCCAGAGAAGAAGGATGGGTTTTTAACCAGTAGAGTATAATTTCAGAATCAGACCAAAAGTATATTTTTTCAACATCAAAGTTCATCATTGGTTTAATTCGTAACCACATATTTGCCATGAGATGTGCTGCTGAGAGCTCCAACCTCGGAAGAGACATAGTTTTGAGGGGAGCTACTTTAAATGTTAGCAGCCTGCAAGATACTCCATTAGAGTCCTGAGAACGAATATAGAAACAACATCCATAGGCACGCATCGATGCATCTTGAATTTGGATTCTAGATAAACATTCGTGTTTACGAATCTTGGGATTTGAATCGTGTCCAACTTTGAAAGATTGAATTTGAAATCTTCCCAGACTGAACTTGGGAATCGATTCATCCCAGTCTAATTTATTAATCCAAAGTTCTGCAATAACATTTTGGCTTTGGTTATTATTGGACACAAAAGGCCGAGGGGATCAAACAAACATTGACAAAAAGTAGCTTTCAGATCTTGGATCGTTTCTTGGGGCCCAATTACCCAATGCCCTTGCAGTCTCGGAATCCGAGTGTAACAACTTTTCACTACAAGTTGTTTGATTGTCCTCGTGCACGAGGACTAGTTGACCGACCTCTATGTTTAGCACCGCCAAATACATTTTTCTGACCATTCTTGAATTTCTGCGACTCGATTAGAGACAAATGTGGCCAGAGAAGAAGGATGGGTTTTTAACCAGTAGAGTCAGAATCAGACCAAAAGTATATTTTTTCAACATCAAAGTTCATCATTGGTTTAATTCGTAACCACATATTTGCCATGAGATGTGCTGCTGAGAGCTCCAACCTCGGAAGAGACATAGTTTTGAGGGGAGCTACTTTAGATTTAGCTGTTAGCAGCCTGCAAGATACTCCATTAGAGTCCTGAGAACGAATATAGAAACAACATCCATAGGCACGCATCGATGCATCTGAGAAACCATGAATTTGGATTCTAGATGAAACATTCGTGTTTACGAATCTTGGGATTTGAATCGTGTCTAACTTTGAAAGATTGAATTTGAAATCTTCCCAGACTGAACTCAAACGCATGGGAATCGATTCATCCCAGTCTAATTTATTAATCCAAAGTTCTTGCAATAACATTTTGGCTTTGGTTATTATTGGACACAAAAGGCCGAGGGGATCAAACAAACGTGAAGATATTGACAAAATGTGTCTTTTAGTAGCTTTCAGATCTTGGAAGCCTCCCTCTATGTAAAATTTCAAAACATCGTTTCTTGGGGCCCAATGAATACCCAATGCCCTTGCAGTCTCGGAATCCGAGTGTAACAACTTTTCACTACAAGTTGTTTGATTGTCCTCGTGCACGAGGACTAGTTGACCGACCTCTATGTTTAGCACCGCCAAATACATTTTTTGACCAAATTTCTGCGATCGATTAGAGACAAATGTGGCCAGAGAAGAAGGATGGGTTTTTAACCAGTGTATAATTTCAGAATCAGACCAAAAGTATATTTTTTCAACATCAAAGTTCATCATTGGTTTAATTCGTAACCACATATTTGCCATGAGATGTGCTGCTGAGAGCTCCAACCTCGGAAGAGACATAGTTTTGAGGGGAGCTACTTTAGATTTAGCTGTTAGCAGCCTGCAAGATACTCCATTAGAGTCCTGAGAACGAATATAGAAACAACATCCATAGGCACGCATCGATGCATCTGAGAAACATGAATTTGGATTCTAGATGAAACATTCGTGTTTACGAATCTTGGGATTTGAATCGTGTCTAACTTTGAAAGATTGAATTTGAAATCTTCCCAGACTGAACTCAAACGCATGGGAATCGATTCATCCCAGTCTAATTTATTAATCCAAAGTTCTTGCAATAACATTTTGGCTTTGGTTATTATTGGACACAAAAGGCCGAGGGGATCAAACAAACGTGAAGATATTGACAAAATGTGTCTTTTAGTAGCTTTCAGATCTTGGAAGCCTCCCTCTATGTAAAATTTGAAAACATCATTTCTTGGGGCCCAATGAATACCCAATGCCCTTGCAGTCTCGGAATCCGAGTGTAACAACTTTTCACTACAAGTTGTCTCATTAAAATCTGGATGATTAGAAAACCATTTTGTGAGATTTAATCCCGCTGAACTGAGAATAGTTGTGACTTCATCTCGAATTGTGAGAAGACTATTCAAATCAGCAGAACCAGTCAATAAATCATCCACATAGAAGTCGTTGCTTATAACTTTGGCACCAATAGGCCAAGTCTCTTTGGACAAATCGCTCAAATGGTTTAAGCAACGAATTGCTAGAAATGGAGCGGACGAAGTACCATAAGTGACCGTATTCAATCTAAAAATTTGCAACGGATCACTTTCGTTTTGTCTCCAAAGGATCAAATGAAAATCTCTATCTTTTTCGTCGATTAAAACTTGACGATACATTTTCTCAATATCTGCTGTAATTACGTATTTATGTAAGCGGAATCGAAGTAACGTTGAGTACAACTCTTCTTGAATGGTTGGACCTACCATCAAGAGATCATTGAGTGAAACATGTGAAGATGTTTTACTCGATGCATCAAAAACGACGCGAAGTTTCGTAGTTGTACTTTGAGGTCGGAAAACACATTGATGAGGAATGAAATAATGTGGGTTATTAGGAACTTTATTGTTGGTTTTTTCCATGTGACCTAAGTCAAGATACTCTTTCATGAAAGAATTATACATTTCTTTAGATGTGACGTCATGAGAAAGTTTTCTTTCCAATGCCAGAAACCGCCTTTTGGCTGTTTCAAATGACGAACCCAAAAGTTTCACATCTTCTTTGAAAGGTAAAGACACTTGGAAGCGTCCTGACGATAAACGTCGAACATATTTTTGGAAATGTTCCTCACATTTTTGATGTTCCTCAGACCGAATTTTAGCACAATTATTTGGAATTTCTTCCAACTCCCAGAATTTCTTAACAATTGCATCAATAGTTTCATCATTTTCTATGGCAACATTCAAGTGACATACACCTGAATTCGACCCCTTTGACTCATCGTATTTGCCAGCTACGATCCAGCCAAGAGAAGTTTTTTGCAGAACCGGATAACTCGGATTCGATTTGATTTGGCCTACACAAAGAAGTTCGAAGAAAACTTCAGCACCAAGTAATAAATCCACTTTACGAGGTTCATTGAAATTAGGGTCTGCCAGCTCTATATTTTTAGGAATATTCCAATTAGCAGTGGAAATTCTCTTATCAGGTTGAAGACTTGTTATAGAACTCAATACCCAGAATGTAGATGAGAATTGGGTTGAATTGAGTCTCGACATCACAGACAGTTGAACTTTATTTTTGGAAATGGAAATTCCTTCCGATATGCCAGTTAAATTTAACCTGCCACTTTCCCGTTTTATTTTAAGCCTTTGTACCAAGTCCTCGGTTATCAAATTAGGTTGAGAACCGGAATCTAAAAGAGCTCTAGCCAGAATATATTTTCCTGAGCTACTACGGACCTTCACTAATGCTGTGGCCAACATTACGCCTTCATTCGACGATGAATAGTTGACCGAAGCGCTAGACGTAGAAGGCTGCTCTTGATCAGAAGCGTATCGATGTAGTAAGAAATGGTGTGAACCACCACATACTCTACACTTCACTCCTGAATTGCATTTGGCAACAGTATGACCTTTTTTGAGACAATTAATACAAGCAGGGACATCTTTAATGAATTCAAATCTTTGCAAAACTGGTACGGCAGTGAAGGAAGTACAATTATTTATATTATGCTGTAAAGATCTACAGAACACGCACTTTTCTGAAGATGGTTTCTGTTTAGAAACTGAAAGTGACGTTTTAAAGTTCCTTTTAGGCTGATTATCAAACTTTGGTTTATTAATTTTGGGCCTTGCACCAGAAGATTCTTCAGCTGATATGTGCTGATATCTTTTATTTAAAGCAGCCTCGCAATCAGACCATAATGGGAGCTTCTCGAAATCAAGCTGTTCTTCCCATTTGGATTTAGTGATTGGATCGACCTTTGACATAACTAAATGAATTAAAATGGCATTCGTAATTTTTTTATCGTCACCAATAGACAACAGCGAATCATAAATGGCAGAAACCGTGTCAATCATGCTACGCAAAGCAGAAGCTGAAGGTTTAGGGATCTCAGGAAGATCGAAAAGTTTAGCAATATTATCGAAAAATATCAAACAATCATTATCATAAACCTTTTTCAGACTAGCTAATGCCTTGGGATAATTTTCTTCAGAAATCTGAAATGCTCTTACAGTACCGAGAGCTTCATCGGACAAGCATGAAATTAAATGGTTGAATTTTTCTATGTCTGTCAATGTCGGATCTGTGTGAACTAAATTTTCAAAAAGACTCATAAAATTTTTATATTCGGAATATTTTCCACTAAATTTAGGCAATTTCATGTTTGGCAATCTAGATTGATGTGATTGGCCACAAAAAGAAGTTTCAGGCATACTACTTCTCCTATTTTTAGACAAAATTCCTAAAAATAGGGACTTTGCCGTAACGCATAAGTCTTCTAGTTCACCTCGATCATTATTATCGGGATCTAGAATGTCAAGTTCGGATTGCAATCTCATTGCATCATCAATATATTTATTAAGAATGTCTAAGCGACATTCTAGTTCAATTGTATTGAACGAAATTCTCTTTTCTCTGAAAGAAGTTTTAATTCTTTCAATATTTTCAATTACCTTTTCTTTCTGTTGTTTAATGTTGGCTACTTCCGTATCGGGAGTGCTTTGGTGCTTCTTACCACCAGCCATTATATTCAAATAATTTGAATTAAATTTAAACAAAAATGTATTTACACACTTATTATTAGTGTAAGGTAATGAACTAGTTTATTTAAAATAAACTCTCGCTTTTATCAAAATTTTATTCAATGTCAGCTTTCAATGACAATTTAATTATTATTTTAATTAAACTGTTTGGTTTACGAATGTTAACACTCAAATTTCAATATTTCAGAAATTTTACAAAAATTGCGTCGTCTATAGCACCCTTAATATTGATGTTTCGATAACTATCGATAACACTGTTTACTAATTGGAGTAACCGAATACAAGTAGTCAATTACTCACGAAGTGTTTAGCACTATTAGAAACTAATCAAAACAAAGAAAATGAAGTGAAAAAAGCACAATTAAACAAATAAATTTAATAAATTAAACCAGTGAGCGGAGCAGTATAGTCGGACGGGGCCGACCATACGATACCCTACACAACTACCACGAACTCTAACTTTCTGAGGATGTTTATTCCGAGTCTGAGTAATATTTCGTGATATTTGCCCCCTCTTGTCCGATTAGAGGTTAACAACACCTCTTCCTTACTATTTTCGAATATTCAGTACAGTCCTTCTAATTACTTGTCCAGATTACCTTCACGGTGGGTTGTGTTGTGATTTTTGGATTATACTCTACTCGAAAACACACAAAAAATTATATTCTCCGTCCATTTCATCCCAAAATTTTAATCTGATCATCACCGAAAATTATAGGCGTTGTTCTTGACCATAACTGGAACCTCATGAACAATTTCAAAGCCATCAGCGCGATATTTCTCCCTCTAATGTGGTAATGGGTTACTAAATAATATCTGAATACGTAAGAACCTGTAAATATTTGACTGTAACTTCCACATCTGAGTAGATACATCACTATATTTGGTATCAATTTAAAGGCAAACCACTCCTTTTGGATATGCTATCAACTCCTGGGGTCTACATCCTCCAGGAGTAAATATATATGCCATAGAATACAAATTTTGTCACTTTTCACACAAAAGTCAGGGTCCATTTGACCCGCTAAATATTGACCGATCTTTATCAAAACATGCATGCTTATTCTCTGGCCCGATCCCCTTCTCCATGCAAAAATTCGCGGTGTTTGGGCCATAATTGCGGCCTCTGGAGCGACCAGAAAAACCGACAAAAATTTAGTATTTGGTCCATTTCATCCCCTAAATATTAACCGATCTTTTCCAAAAACAATAGGGGTCTTCATTGGCCAGAACCCATCCTACATGCAAAATTTCGTGAAGATTGGTCCATAACTGTGGCCTGTATCATGTTTACAAATTATAATGGACAGACGGACGGAAACGGACACACATGTCTAGATCGACTCAGCTAGTCGAGATATGACGATCGGTATACTTAAAGGTGGGTCTAGGACCAATATTTCGCGGCGTTACAAAATTTGGGGCTGCACAAAGCTATAATACCCTGACAACATAGTTGTGTAGGGTATAAAAATATATGTTAATTTGCCGAATTCTAATATTTTGTTTAAAATTAGTTTCACTCGCGAATGTATTATGAAATTTGTTTTCGCGGATCAGTGTGGTGCTACGAATGTTTAATATTCCAACGAGTGAAATGGCTGACAAAGCAAAAAGCGGAATAAGAAAAGGCAAACTTAATTTATATGTAATGATTAAGTTTGTGTTATCTTGCCGCGAAATCAAGCCAAAACGATTCACAAAATATATATAAATTGAAATATCAAGCGTATACGGATAATCTGTGTGAATTTTGATAAAATAAATTTTGTTTAACAAATTCTCTAACACTGAGTAATTTACAGGTTAGGATTCACACAAATTATATCCAACGCTGTTACCTGTGAATCAGAATCACTCTCCTGATTGTTGTGTTTGCTTCTGCATAAACGGCAATCACAGCGACGGGGCATCTGGATCTGATGACAGCAGCAAGTTTTTGAGGAGAGTATTTAATTTATTTTCTTTATTTAATTGTTTTTTAATATTTTTTGTGTTCTTTTCTTCTTCTTTCTTTGCAGTAGCTTGGCAAAGATGTTTTGTAAAAACTTAACAAAACACACCGACACTTTATAATCCCGGGTTTCGGCACCAAAATGTTCACCTTTATTTTAAGGTAATTTTACTTTTAATTCTATTTTTTAATTATAAAATTAACAATTATAAAAACAAATTCAATTCAAATTAATAAAACTGCTCCAACAAATGTATTTAAATAATTTAGGATTGAAAAGTTGTGTTTTACAAAAGAAACCCCTAAATGTTGTCTTGATATTATAAAACACATACTTGCAATTACCCTGCTTGTTCTGAAGGTATAGTCTATTTTAGGTTTCAGTATACTATAGTTAAATCGATGAATGTTAGTGCCGCGATTGACTTGATCCTGTCCTCCAATTGTCAAGGATGAATAGGCATGTAGATTTTATGTGTTAAAACATCTACACCGACATTGTGGCTTAACTAATCCCCCTTGATTTGGATTCATCGACAATGGAAACTTTTTTCCTGAAAGATCTCACCTAATAAGTTCAATTTATGTTTCTTATATTTTCACTAAAATATTTATATACTAACAGTTCTATTATTCGAAACGAGTGATTAGATTTTATAACTTGCAATATGGTTGGCTAAGGTTAACATGTTCCCAAACAATCTCACAGACATCCAACAACAATGAACTCATTTTATCTTTTTGTTTTTTAGTTCCAATTATTTACACAAATTATAAGTGTAAATGTAAACCTCAAATATTAGTTCAATGAAATGTAAATTGAATGTAACCACATACCTTGTAATTATCTATATTTAATTTGCATTTCGTTGAATGTCTGAATAACAATAAAATTGCAACTGAAATATTAATTTTCGTAGAATTTTTAATTGAAATGTTTGTATAATGTCCAGACATTTCTAATTATTTGTTGCATTTACTTTGTTGATTTTTGGTCTTTTCTTTAATGAATATTTTAAAATGTCTACTGAAATTGATAATAAGTGGCTTGTCTTGAATTGGATATAAATTATTATGTAAGAGCAATGGTAATTTTAAATGAGATTGCAAATCTTGTGTCTCCAACTATCCCAAAAATTAAATAACCAAAATCTAAGAGACTAACATCTTTTGGGTGATGTTAGAACGATTAAGAGTACGTAATAATTCTTTTAAACGTAAGATGTACTGCATTAAAAAGAAGTCAAATCGTAGTTATTATACCCTCTGTTATGAGGTGGACCTTTAAAATACGTAACATCTATCAGAATTTTTTAGTGGCGCCCGGCGGTTAGAAAAATCTCTGCAAAACTCACAATACCGAAAATGGTCAATTCACAGAAATGACGAAATCGACAAAGATCACGCACATCAAGTGAATTAAGTTATAAAGTACTTTCAATTAATATCTGGGGTTAGGAGCTCTAAAGTTAGCACAAAGGCCAAGAGCAATGTAGCAAGTAGCAAGAAAAAGATTTAAAGAAATGTGTACACAATAACGTGTATAACTTGTGACGTGGTATGAAATTTCCGTGTATAATTGTGTTTTTATACCCTACACAACTATGTTGTCAGGGTATTATAGCTTTGTGCATGTTTGTAACCCTCGAAATATGACCCACCTTTAAGTATAACGCATATCTCGACTAGCTGAGTCGATTTTTGTCGGTTTTTCTGGTCGCTCCAGAGGCCGCAATTATGGCCCAAACACCGCGAATTGTTGCATGGAGAAGGGATCGGG